AAGTCCTCTCTGCACCCAAGGTAGAGCTCGAACTTAAAACTCCCAGATCAAGAGTCACACACTCCAGGGCTGAGCCACCCAGGTGCCAAAAAAACTTTTTTTTGTAACCACATTTTTAGCCACTGAGAAATGTCTTTTGTTTTCTGATTTCTGATCTAACACTCTTCTTGTGTTACGGATGTTTTGTCTTCTTGAATCTCTTTAAGTATGTTACGGGTTCCCTTTGCAGGCTGCATCGTAGGTACACTTCCGAGTCATCGCGGGTTTAATTCCAGGCCAGGGCAGTAAAGCAGGCATCGCCATGAAGCAAGTCAAATGAATCTTTGGGTTTCCTGGTGCACATAAAACTTATGTTTACAGCACCAAAGTCTGTTAAGTGATCAGTAGCTAGTGAGTAACAGCTTAGGCTGACTCCGTCCGTGGAGCATGTGACTCTTGGTCTCCAGGTTACGAGTTCGAGCCCCATACTGGATAAGGTGAGTACTCAAAAAAAAAAAAAAAAAAAAAGCTATAAAAAAAAAGAGAAAAGCTAACCATCATCTGAGCTTTCAGCAAGTCATAATCACTGATCATAGATGGCCACAATAAATGCAAATATAGTGAAAAAGTTTGAAATATTGTGAGAATTACCAGAATGTGACCTAGAGACATGAAGTGAGCAAACGCCTTTGGGAAAATGGTGCGAGCAGACTGGCTCCGTGCAGGGCTGCCGCACACCTTGAGTCTGTAAAAAACATAATATCTGCAAAGTACAAAGAAGCGAAATCCATGACTTATGCACGTGTCTCTGGCTCCTCCAGTGTCCATCTTGTTTGTTTGTCTGTGCATGCTCCTGGTTCTCGTAGGCGTGGAGGTCGTGGGTCACATTTCATAAAGAACGACCAAGCTGTCCTGCGTTTCCTCTGCTGATATGTAAGTTATATTATTTTTCCTCTAGGGTTTTCTCTGGTAGGAAATCCTGCCTAGGAATTCTTCGTGGATTAGGATAGGACACACATGCACTGGGGCGCCTGGGTGGCTCAGTGGGTTAAGCCTCTGCCTTTGGCTCAGGTCATGATCTCAGGGTCCTGGGATCGAGCCCCACATCAGGCTCTCTGCTCAGCGGGGAGTCTGCTTCCCCCTCCCCCTCTGCCAGCTCCCTCTGCTTGTGCTTTCTCTCTGTCAAATAAATAAATAAAATCTTAAAAAAAAGAGAGAGAGAGAGACACATTATTAAGAGCCTCCTTTGGGGTGGAGAGAGCTCCAAAAGCTAGAATAAAAAAACATTTATTCTGGATTACCAAGGCTTAACCTCCTCAGACAGTTGGTTCAATGTCTTCGGAGACAAGCCGCCCGCCATTCTGTCCGAGGGAGAGAAATGCCTTCCAGGTGAGGAGGGGAAGTGGGGTTGTCCGCGGATGCTGTTGGCCTGTCTTGCACACCTTCACACGTTTCCAGAATTTCACTCCCACCTCTCCCATTTTCCTTTGCCTGCTGATTGGGGAAATTGTCCCTCTTGGGGCAGCCTAAGCAGGAAGGCTCGACTGGCAAACCCCCACCGTCTTTGCACTTTTGCTTCTTTTTGTATTCTCTACCTTTCCATGAGGAGGGATTGGAGACAAAGGACCCAGAGTCAGAAAGCCTGTTTTACTTTCTAACTGTTGCACACACTCAGCATCCGGACAGATGGAGGCTGTGGTAAAGGCTCACTCATCAAACTCAGTGGAAATCCAGGAAATATTTACTGAATACCAGGGTTCTGTCCCAAAGACTGGGTTTGCTTGTTTTTTTTTTTTTTTTTTTTTTTTTTATACGGTTTTAGTAATCTCTGCACCCGACTCCGGGCCTTTAACCTGCAACCTCAAGATCAAGAGTCTCATGGTCCACTGACTGGGCCAGCCGGGCTCCCCTGCATCGTCCCTTTCTCACGGCATTTGTGTGCACCCTGATAACCCCGACCATAGCGAGGAAGCCCAGAATAACACGGAGACACTTGTATGAAAAGGCAAGTCACAAGCGCAAAGTACAAAGAAACTTAATCAGCGCTGTGATATTACACAGATCCCGAAACTGATCAGAATTCCCTCCAGGCTTTCCACCCAAGTATCTCGGGCTTCTCTCTTTTCTTCCTGTTACAAATGTCATCCACTAGAATCCCAAATGAAGTATTTATCCCGTTCAGTCATTCCAGAAATACTTAGAGTCCTTCCCCGTTTGCTAGACATTGCATTAGGCACTGAGGATGAACAGAAGAGAAGACATATGTGGTCCCTGTCCCCTTGGAGCCTTTAGCTCAATCACCCAACAGATGTTTATTAAACATCCATTATGATCAAGTCGCTACGGGGGACAACTGAAGCCACCGGCTGGGGACACTTACATCTCTGTTAACATGACTATACTTGTCTTTATTGGCATGACTAGTACTCGAAGAAATGCTCGCCCAGGAAGATGAATGTTGCCAATTAACTTTATTGCTTATTCCATCAACTTCCTGAAAGACCCATCAACTCTGATGGAAAACATCGGCTGACTGTCGGGCACCTAGCTAGCTCTGTCTGTAGGACTGTTGATCTCAGGTCGTGAGTTCAAGCCCCACTTTGGGTATAGAGCTCATTAAAAAAACAAAAACAGGGGAGCCTGGGTGTCTCAGTGGGTTAAAGCCTCTGCCTTCTGCTCAGGTCATGATCCCAAGGTCCTGGGATCGAGCCCCGCATCAGGCTCTCTGCTCAGCATGGAGCCTGCTTGCTTCCCTTCCTCTCTCTCTGCCTGCCTCTCTGCCTACTTGTGATCTCTGTCAAATAAATAAACAAAATCTTAAAAAACAAAAACAAACCCCAAACTCCACAATCAATCAGGGGTGCCTGGCTGGCTCAGTGGGTAGAGCATGCAACTCTTGACCTCTTGGTCATGACTTTGAACTTCATATTGGGCATAGGGATTACTTTTAAAAAATCAGCTTAAGGGGCGCCTGGGTGGCCCAGTGGGTTGGGCCTCTGCCTTCGGCTCAGGTCATGATCTCAGGGTCCTGGGATCGAGCCCCGCATCGGGCTCTCTGCTCAGCGGGGAGTCTGCTTCCCCTTCTCTCTCTGCCTGCCTCTCTGCCTACTTGTGATCTTTCTCTCTGTCAAGTAAATAAATAAAATCTTTAAAAAAAATCAGCTTAAAAAATTACTTAAAAAATCAGATTTTCAATAGAAATATCTACCAAGAGACAATTTACACCTTAAGACTGTTTGAGCCCCTCACTTTGCTCTGTAAATTCTCCCTGATTCCACTGTAACCCTTATCTGCCCTAATCAACCCCTGGTCTTACCCAGCTCGGGATGACCGGCTTTCACAACGTCTCAGTAAATTTCATGGGTTTGCCCACCATCTTCCTAAGAGGGTTTTCAGACCTTTGGGTCTGACAAAGTGCCAGGAACATAGTGAATAAAATCCTCACGAATTGACATTGTAGACACACACAATAAGCAGAAACCGGGAAATATGTCATTTTTCCTTTATAGTGTCCTTGGGGAGATGGTAGCCAGATGTGTCATTACAAATTGTGCCAGCTGGGGCACCTGGGTGGCTCAGTGGGTTAAGCCGCTGCCTTCAGCTCAGGTCATGATCTCAGGGTCCTGGGATCGAGTCCCGCATCGGGCTCTCTGCTCAGCAAGAAGCCTGCTTCCCTCTCTCTCTCTCTCTCTCTCTCTGCCTGACTCTCCGTCTACTTGTGATCTCTGTCTGTCAAATAAATAAATAAAATCTTTAAAAAAAAAAAAAAAACAAATTGTGCTAGCTGATGGGGCGCCTGGGTCGCTCAGTGGGTTAAGCCTCTGCCTTCGGCTCAGGTCATGATCCCAGCGTCCTGGGATCGAGCCCCACATCGGGCTCTCCGCTTGGCGGGGAGCCTGCTTCTCCTCTCTCTGCCTGCTGCTCTACTTGTGATCTCTCTCTCTCTCCCTCTCTGTGTCAAATAAATAAATAAAATCTTAAAAAAAAAAAAATTGTGCCAGCTGAGAAAGAGAGGGCACGAGAGGGGACAGAGGGGACGGTTCAGATCCTCATGAGAAAAGATGGTCTGGAAAACTGCCCGAAATGACTAAGTCGGGAAGAGGGTGGTCTGAGCGTGCCCAGTAAGGCACATAAAGGTGTTGAGACCCTCAGGCCAGGGGGCGGGGCGGGGGGGGGGGGGGTGGTCAGCGGATTCCAGAACACAAAGGAAACCAACCAGGCCAGACTGCGGGGAGAGGGCAGGAGCCTCTCCAGAAACTTCCTCAGCCACAACACCGGGGCTAATTACTACTCTCGCAACAGAGTGGTTTTGATAATTTTCACTGCAAATGTGCGGAAGTGAACGTTCCAGGCGAAATGCGTTCCTGAGGCTCTTACTGCTCACACAAGGGTTTTCATGGCAAAAGGGGTCCGGCTTTTGCAAGTCCACGCACCGGGCCCCCGGGGCCCGCCGCGCGGGCCGGAGCCCTCTGCAGCCCGCGGGCTTCCAGAGCGGCGGCGGGGACCCCGCTCACCGGGGGCGGCCCAGAGGCGAGCTCTCGCCGGCGCAGGTTTTCATCAACTCCCAACCGATCCGCCGAAGGAGCGAGCACATGACCCGCGTGAATGATGTCCTCAGGCTCTTTTCCAGTTCCGTGCGCGGAAGTACCGTCCTCGGGGCCCCGAGAAAACCCAAACGGCCTTCGGCCCGAACCCGACTGCCGGGTCATCCCGGGCCGGGGCCCGAGATCCACGGTCGGGCCGGGGGCGGGCCAGGCCCCGTCCGAGGCGCGGGGGTCCTGCCGCCTCTCCCTCCCCCGCCCCCGGGGCTGGGTGGAGTCCCCGCGCGCGGCGCCCCGGCTCCCGCCGCCCGGCCGGCCCTGCGCGCCCGGGGCCCCTCCCGCCAGCCCCGGCCCTGCGGGCCTCCTCCCGGGGTCGGCGCGGTGCGCGCGCTCAGCCGCCCGCGGCTCGGCGCCCCAGCCGCGCCCCGCTTCCCGCGCCTTCCCCGCCGGGGCGCGTCCGTCGCCCCTCCCCCTCGGTCGCCCGCCCCGCCCGCCGGCTCCCCGGCCCCCGCCCCCGCGGGTCCCGGGCCCCGGGGTGGGGGGGGCGCGGCGGGGGCAGGCACAGCCCCCCGCCCCCATGGCCGCCCGTCGGAGCCAGAGGCGGAGGGGGCGCCGGGGGGAGCCGGGCACCGCCCTGCTGGCGCCGCTCGCGCTGGGCCTGGGCCTGGCGCTGGCCTGCCTCGGCCTCCTGCTGGCCGCCGCCAGCCTGGGCAGCCGGGCACCGCCGCCCGCCCAGGTGAGGCCCCGCGGCGCAGCCCTCCCGCGGCCGGCCGGGAGCCGAGTCTGCTGTGCGGCGGACCGGGCCGGGTGGGCGGAGGGCACGGGGCCAGGAAGATGGGTGGAGGGTGCGATGTCAGGTGGAGAGGGACGGGGTGACGCTGCCTCCTTCCCAGCAGGAGCCTTCCCAGGGGGAGCTGGTGGCGGAGGAGGACCCGGACCCGCCGGTGAGTGGCCGTGGGTGCCGGGCGCGCGCGGCGGGGCGTGGGGAGTGTGCGCGAGCCCGGGGCGCGGGGTGTGCCCTCGCGGTGCCAGCTGCGTGTGTGCGGGGGTGTGCGCCGCCGTGCGGGCGTCGGGGACACGGGGAGAGGGGGAGGGTGCCGCCGCGTGAAAGGGGTTTGTGTCACCTGAGTCCGCAGTGTTTATTGGCTGGAGGCGAGGTGGGGGTATGGGATGGGGGGAGCCTGTCGCGGAGGAGGGATGCTGGCGATGCGTGCGGGGTGTGTGCCCACCGTGCACGCCGACGGGGTGTGGGCGCTGCAGGGTCTGTGCCGGGTCTGTGTGCTGGGGCGCTGGGGGCGCGGGGTGAAGGCTGGGGCCTGACCCCAGGACCCGGCCTCCCCAAGACTCCCGTGCCTGCCGCTGGCTGGTGGTGCCTCTCCCAACGGGGACCCCCCTGTCGGTCTCGGTTTAGTCTCTTGGTGGCCTCCGGCAAGACCCGGGTTCAGTCCTGCCCTTAATGCCCCTAGGAACTGAATCCCCAGACAGAGGAAAGCCAGGATCCCGGGCCTTTCCTGAAGAGGCTTGTTCGGCCTCGCAGAAGTGGTGAGCGCCCCTTTCTTCCACCTTCAGGAGTAATCCTAGTGGCCAGTGGCTTCTGCACTCACTGCTTTTGTTCACGCTAACATCCCCATGGAGTGGGCAGAGCCAACACCATCCTCCTTACTTACAGTGGGGATGGGGAAACTGAGGCACAGATGGGGTGTTGGTGGGGGCAGAGGTCAGAGTCTCGCAGCTGATCGGTTCTCTCTGAAGCCCCTCCCATCCCATGGACCGATTCTCACTTGACACCCTATGCTGGATATGAAGGAAGGGCTGGCCCAGGATTAGGAGGACCCCTAGGGTCCTGATGGAGACAAGGTGGGGGAGGCAGAGGCGGGGGCCCCAGGAAGCAAAGAGACTCGTGAATGGGATGACCAGGTGAACCTGTGTCCAGGTTTGCGTAGGGCTGTCCCAGCTCCTGACGGTTATCTCCCTGCGATTACTAATCGCAACCGTTTGCTCTCAGAAACTACCCAGTTTGGGTGATAAACAATGCAGTCGGTCTCCTTAAGGAGGGAGGTATGGCCTGAGGCTCTGAGGCCAGGAGTCTGGACAAGAATAAAGATGCCGGGGCTGTGAGAGCAAGACGGGGCTGGGGAGTGTCTCCGGAGCCCCCAGAGTCAGGGCGCGCTATATTCTGCATCTTTCTTCCCTTAATTCTTAGCACCTAAAGGCCGGAAAACACGGGGCCGCAGAGCAGTGGCCGCTCACTATGAAGGTGGGTGATGGGTGAGCCGTGCCCAGGGAGACGGGGCGGTAGAGGGACAGGGCGGGTCTAACAGCCCTTTCCTGTGCCTTTCAGTTCACCCACGACCGGGACAGGATGGCGCACAGGCCGGTGAGACCGCATTCCCACCCCTGAGCTCTCCCCTGACCCCCACCATCACTGGCCTCCTGGCAGAGCCGCCCCTCAGAAGCTTTTGCTTCCCACTGCCCTCCCTGCCTTTAGCCTGGGAGCCCCAGAAGCCAGTTCGAGAAAATCTGCAGGGCTCGCTTCTCTCAGCCCCCAGACCTGGTCTCTGTCTTGATCCAGGCAGGAGGACCTAGGGCTCCCCACACCCAGCCACCAGCCCTCATGCCTGTGCAAGAAGCCCATCTGATTCTTCCCTCTTCTTCCCAGACCCACGCCCCACCGTGGATTCTATGCGTCCTCACACTCTGACCATTTTTCTTAGAATGTTTCTGCTGTGCTCCTTTTCCATCCCTGCCCCACCTCCCATCTCAGCACCGTGACCTCAGAACCTCAAACCCGGTCTCTAGCCCCTTCCCCATCCCTTTGCTCTGTCCCCCACTATGTGGTCGAGCTAAGGTTCTTCAAACTCACTGTCCTTATTCTGTTGCTTCTTTGCCTGCCTGCATTCTCTCCGTGGTCTGTTCTCAGCCCCTTTTCCCAGCACACACTGTGCCCTCACCTGGAATGTCCTTCCGTGGGACAGGCCATGAGGCAAGACGGGAGGCTGGCTTGGTCTAGGGGGCTGGCAGCCGAGACAGAGCCAAGTAGATGGATTCGGCGTGTGGCTAGAAGGTCGGGCTCGCTTATGGGTTGGATGTGCAGGGGAAGGGAGGGAATCAAAAGCGACTTCTAGATTTTTAACTTGGGCATCCTTGGGCATAATGATGCCATTTATGGAGGGAAGAAATAGGTTGGGAGGTATGTGGATTAAGAATGGGAATTCAGATCTCCTACTGAAAGAGTGGAGAAGTGATAATAAATGAGTGAGCTCTGTGGACAGATGGCTGGACAGAGTCAGCTGGCTGAGGCTGGTTTGGGACCCACGGCCATCCGGATGCTGTTCAGACCTCCAGGGTCGGATGAGGCACTGGGGGGGAAGAGGGACCCCAAGAGTGAGGCCCTGGGGCTCCGAGACATCCTGGAGCAGAGCAGAAGAGGAGAACCCGGCAGAGACGGGAAGAAAGCCGGGGAGGACAGTGTCCTGTGATCTGTGAGATGATGTGGTCTCACCAGCGAGGGTGTGGCTGTCTGCGCCGCCGAACGCTGCTGACGGGTCACGTGATTTGACTGTGGGGGTTTGGTAACCTTAAAAGGCAGCTGGTGACCTTGGCCAAGCCTGTTTCAGTGGTGCAGTTAGGATAGAAGCCAGTGTGGTTGGGGTGAGGAGGAATGGGAAAAAGGAATTGGGAGACAGGGACAGTCCTTTCCAGAAGTTTCTCTGTGATGAGCGGAACAGTGGGCCGGTGGCTGGAGGGAGATGTGGATGGAGGAAAAATAGGGATCTTAGCTAACATTTACTGAATGTCGCATTCATCTAGACCTCCCAATAGTCCTAAAAGGATACTCTGAGCTCCATTTTAGAGATGCAAGTTACTTAACCTGCCCAAGGCCATGACCATACTCGGTGGGACCAGGATTTGAAGGTCCCTAGAATGTGCTTGCGTGAGGACCTGCCCGTGCTCGGCGCAGGGGTGGGTGGATGGGACCTGTATGGCAGTGTCCAGGAAGGGGGCAAAGGGTGAGTTCCAGAACAAAGGGAGAGACACAACACACGTCATCACGAGAGGGTCAGTGGAGAATGTGAGCACAGGTCCGTTTTGGGCTCTGATCAGGAGGAGGTGCGGGGGCCCTTGTCTGATGAATTCTGGATCCTTCAGAGAATGAGGAAGATGGGCAGAGTTGCGAGAAGGGGTACAAAGTCCCTGCGTCCATGAGTGCCAGAGCAGGGTCAGAGGGCAAGCACAGGAAGGCTGCCGGGCAGTAAAGAATGTGCGTTTGGGGTCTGTGGTTGTGACATGGAGGGACATGGTGGTCCCAGGCACACCATGCCCTTCAGCCTCCACGAGCCTTTCCTTCAGCTGCTTCCACAGTGGGGAGTGTCCTCCCTCCTCTCCCCCTGCTCTGCACGCCCCAGGCCAGCCCTCCTGCCCTCCAGATGAGTTGAGTAACCTGGACGTTCATTCCTCCGCTGCCTGAACACACATGTGCTGGGAACCTGCTGTTTTAAGGACGGGGCTCGGGGCCCGCAGGCAACACCACCCAGACCTTGTCTCAAACAGTGACCATCTGGGAGAGGAGACGAGCCTGTACATTTGGGAATTACAGTACGCTGTGACAAGGACGATAAGGAGAGCAGCCATAAGTGTGTAGTGGCCTAGAGGAAGAAAACTTTATGGTGGAGTCAGGGCCTCCTTCCCCAAGAAAGGGGGGGCCTCGAAGCACCTTGAAGGTGGACAAGGGCTCAAGGACCTTCCGGGTAGAGGGACCCACTGGTGCGGAAGCCCCAAGCTGGGGGAGAACAGGGCGAGCAGCTCCGCTTGGAGGCAAGAGCTTGCGGACAGCATGGGCCATGAGCTTGGAGAACAGGGAGCCAGGCCGCAGAGCGAGTCTGGAAGTCATTCTGAGGTCAAGGCCAGCAGAGGCAGGCTGCCGTCTGCGTTTTAGAAACCTCACTGTGCGGTCCTGTGTAGGAGCCAGCAAAAAGGCGCAGGGGGGAGTCCGCTGAGGAGGGAGGCTGAGAAGAATCCCGGCAGGAGTGGCCGTGGCTGGGCCCGGGGAGGGAGACGGGGTTCCCCCTGCCATGCAGGTGGCAGAACTTGTAGGAACTAGAAATTGGGGACTCAGATTGGTGGGGATGAGGAAGGGCTGGGGAAGGCAGCTGCCTAGGAGAGCGGTGGTGGATCCCGAAAAAAGCCAGAGGCGTGGGCCCCGTCGGCCGACTCCCTCTGGCCTCCCACCAGTGTTTGCGGGGCGCCCACTCGGAGGGGTCCCGGCACTGTGTGCCACGCCACAGTGGTGAATGAGACCGTGATCGGACCCCATACTTGGACCTGCGTATATAACCTGGATGATTGCCGGTGTCGGGGATGGGTGTGAAGGAAACAGGGTGGCCAGGGGAAGAGAGGAGAGGCAGGGCTGGGACTGGCCGCTTCGAAGTGGGGGGCCAGGGAAGGAAGGGCTGTCGGCGGGGTTGGGATCTCAGTATCTGCAGGGGTGGGGCGGGCAGGCCAAGCAAGGGCAGGAAGACAGCGGGAGTCCTGTGATAGACCAAGGGGGACCCGGGAAGCCACCTGAGCTCCTGGCCATTGTCTTGTTACTCGTCTTCTTGGCCATGACCTTAGCTCTAGGTTGTTTCATTTTTCGCTATGGTTTTATCAAGCTACGCTTTACGTACAGCTCACCCGCTTCGAGGGTGCCGTTTGGTGGTGTCTGGACTTTAGTTCACACAGCTGCAGACATCAGCACGACAAGACACCCTATGCCTGTTAGCCAGCACCCCTGTTTCTCCCAGCACCGCCCCCCCAGCTCGAAGCAACCACCAACCTACTTTGTCTCTAGGTATTCATCTGGAAATTTCCTAGGAATCTTACAACGTGTGGTTCTTTGGGGACTGGCATCTTTCACTTACCACAATGCCTTTGGTTTGCCCACCGGGTAGTGGTTTTCTTTTTATGGCTGCATAATATCCCAGCGTGGGGCTGTCCCACCGTTTCCTTGTCCGCGCATCGCTCAGCAGACATTTGGGTACCATTTTTTAATATTTAATGCTCGCAATCCCAGCCCCGTCTGATTCGAGGACAGTATGTGGACATTCTTAAAAGAGGAGGACAGCAGAGGCACAAAATATCAAAGCCCCTGGCACTTCTCCTTCCATCTGGCTCTTGTCCCTGGACAAGGTGGTGGGTGACACCTTGCTTCTCCCCGCCCTGGTCGCACTTGTTCGTGCACCACTGGCTCCCCGGCCTTGCACCAGCTCTGCATCTCCTGGGTAAAGGAGGGCCCCGAGTCTTTGGTCCTCACCGGGTGCCTGGGGAGCGTGAGGAAGTCCTGATCTCTGACCACCCCTGCAGGTGTGGATGGGACCGTGAGCGGCTGGGAGGAGGCCAGAATCAACAGCTCCAACCCGCTGCGCTATGACCGCCAGAGCGGGGAGTTCCTCGTGGTGCGGGCCGGGCTGTATTACCTGTACTGCCAGGTAAGCCCCACGCGCGGCTGCAGCCCGGCAGGGATCGGGGGCCAGAGGAGGTGGTGGGTCAGGGCCAGGGCCGACAGGCACCCCGGGTCGCCGGGGCTTGCAGGAAACTGAGCCTTGGCCAGCGGGGGCCTGGACTCTGCTGCCTATGCCCGCCGGCAGGTGCACTTCGACGAGGGGAAGGCGGTCTACTTGAAGCTGGACTTGCTGGTGGATGACGCGCTGGCCCTGCGCTGCCTGGAGGAGTTCTCGGCCACGGCCGCCAGTTCCCTGGGGCCCCAGCTCCGCCTCTGCCAGGTGTCTGGGCTGCTGCCCCTGCGGCCTGGGTCCTCTCTGCGGATCCGCACCCTCCCCTGGGCCCATCTCAAGGCCGCCCCCTTCCTCACCTACTTTGGACTCTTCCAGGTGCACTGAGGGGCCCTGGTGGGGCCCCCACCGTGGCTCTCAGTGCCCCCCTCCACCGTACTCCCCCCTCCGCTTCTCCCTCTCGGCCCCCCCCAACCTGCCCGCCCTCTGCAGGGCCGCTTGGACTTGCTCATTTCATTTCCACCCCACGTAGAAAATCCCCTCCTCTGACAGCCCCCCCCCACCTCACTAGCTCCTGAACCCTTGGTCATTCGACACCCCCATGTATCTCCTGACTCCCTGCCCTGGCCACAGCCGCCCCAGGACACTGTGTCTACTCTACTCTGGGTGAGGATGGGCCCCCAACCCCCCCCCAACTTCAGGCACTAATCGGCTGGACAGGAGGGAGCCGGGGGACTAGGCTGGGAGTTCCCAAAAGCGAGGGCTGAGAGCAAGACTAACTCCTTCCCTGATAATTCCCTGTGGATTTTTAAAAACAGATATTATTTTTATTATTATTGTGACAAAATGTGCATAAGTGGATATTAAAGACAATAAACCATGGTCTCTCTCTTCCTTGGGGCTTAGGGGGCGTTTCTCAGGGTAGCACAGGGCCCCCGGAAGGGAGTGCGGGCATCCCAGAATGGGGTGCGGGATGGCTGGCATGCTGGGGCAACATACAGGCTCAGGAGTGGGGACCCGCCTGCTTCTGACCCCTGAGGCATGAGCAGAGAGCAGAAAGGCAAAGTGCCAGGAAAAAAAATCAATGTCTGCCCAAGGTCCAGCAGAAGCTGCCTCATTTACCTAGGAGGCGGGCTTCCTCCTGTGGGTAATCCCTGGCCGGGAGGAGGGAGGAGCAGGGCCCTTCCTCTTGGCAGCCTCAGGACATTAAGCAGGTGCTGGCACAAGCCCTGGCTGGGATGTGGGGTGGGAGCAGGCCCGAAGGGGAGCTCAGGGTCAGGAAGCGGGACGCCGGGGCCCGGGAACATGTGAACCCGGGCCCCTGGGTCCAGGGAAGGAATCTGACAGTGGTAGGGTGCTTGGGGCTTTCTCCCTCTCTCTGACCAGGCCCCTTATGTAAGAGCTCTTCTCGGGAAACAGGAAGTTCTCCCTGCCAAGTTCAGCACAGGGAGTAGTGCCGGCCTCATTCCAACACACCCGGCCTGGCCTTAACCCCAGAACTCAGCCAGTTTCTTGCTTCCGCGACCCTGGTTCTCCTTCCCATCTACCCCCTCCCGCCCCTCCTTTTCCACTTCCAGTCATTCCCAGAGGTCTCCCCCGTGGCTGAGCTGGAGGGTCTTCACCCCCTCACCCCAGACCCCCAAGGCTGCCCAGCTTGCCTCTCCATCCCTGCTCTTGGCACCATGGCCTGGAGCCAGCCACCCTTCCCTCCCCCACTTCTGGGGCAGTCCCAGGGTTCCTGTGCTCAGCCGCTCCTTCTGGGTGTCACTGGCAGTCCTGTCCTTCCTAGAGATACTGGCACCAAGTTTTCCCGAGGCTGGAGGAGGGTGTGTGTGTGTGTCCGTCCGGAGGGGGCGTCTTGAGACACCACCGGCCCCACGGCGGGGTTCCAGGAGCGCCAACAGTGTCCCTTGCTGGCTCTCCTCCTCCTTTTTTTATTCTCAAGTTCCTTTTTATTTCTCCCTTGCGTAACACTCTTCTTCCCTTCTGTACCCCCACCCTCCCTACCACCTCCCGGCCACCCCACTCCCGAGGCTGCAGCCTCCGGCGGGGTCCCCGGCTCATGCCAGCCTCATCTCCTTCCTTGCTAGCCCCCAAAGGGCCCCCGGGAGACATGGGTGGCCCGGCCCGAGAGCCAGCACTCTCAGTTGCCCTGTGGTTGAGTTGGGGGGCAGCTCTGGGGGCCGTGGCTTGTGCTGTGGCTCTGCTGACCCAACAAACAGAGCTGCAAAGTCTAAGGAGAGAGGTGGCGCGGCTGCAGAGGGCCGGAGGGCCTTCCGAGAAGGAGGAGGGGCATACGTGGCTGAGCCTCCAGGAGCAGGTGAGTGAGGGGAGCGGGGGGATGGGGGGGGCGAGAAGAGGATGGGTGCCAGGGCCAGCTAGGGGCATCCTTGGTCTAGCCCCGCAGTCTGTAAAGTTTTGAGGAGGTGCAAGAAAGGGTCCCAAGTTTGGAGGTCAAGGAAGCAGCCATTCCAGGAAAGGAAATTGTTAAATATTAATACTTCTCCTGCCTACCAGATCCTGGAGGACAGCCAGCACCAAGACTCAGGTCGCTGGGGAAAAGTGCATGAGTGATGTGTGGCACTCCTGGGGCTTGGTTGGTTGTGGGGGGGGGCAGAGAGCGTGGCAGGGGTCGCTGGGAGGAAAAGCTGTCGCGGGACCCTTGCTTCTTAGCCTAACTCTGACCCTCTTTCCATGAGCAGAGCCCCAACGCCCTGGAAGCCTGGGAGAATGGGGAGAGATCCCGGAGGAAGAGAGCAGCGCTCACGCATAAGCAGAAGAGTGAGGAGGCCTCCGGGGTGGGGTGCGGCAGGGGGGGGGGGGATCAAGCCGCAGGGGGATCTGGAGCCAAGGCGAGAGGGGAAGGGACAGGTGGGCACCGCTTAGCTCTCCTCCTCCTCTCCCCAGAGAAGCACTCCGTTCTGCACCTGGTCCCCATCAACATCACCTCCAAGGGTGAGCACTAACTTTAAATAATGGCTCCGGGGGAGGGCCAAGGTCAGGGAGCTTTGGGGGCTGGCAGCCGGGCCCAAGAGAATTCAGAGGTGAAAAGTCTCTGAGAATGCCCAGAAGTCCTGATGGCCAAACTCCTCACCTCCAGAGGACTCCGACGTGACGGAGGTGATGTGGCAACCGGCCCTTAGGCGTGGGAGAGGTCTGGAGGCCCAAGGATATGTTGTGCGAGTCTGGGACGCTGGAGTTTATCTGCTGTACAGTCAGGTAATCCCACAGATACCCCAAGCCTTGTCTGGGGGCAGAGAGGTCTGTTCTCCCCGGGGGGTGGGGGGTGGATGCCCTGGTACTGAACGTTCCCAACGCCACTGTTCGTACCAAACTTCAGAGATCCTCCCTCCTTCCTTGGCTCCCTCGTCCGGGCTCCGGAGGCCTCCCAGCCCTGAGCCAGGCTTTCTCACTTCCTTTAGCTTCTCCTCCATTCCTGGTCAGGTCCTGTTCCATGATGTGACTTTCACCATGGGTCAGGTGGTGTCTCGGGAGGGCCAGGGAAGGCAGGAGACTCTCTTCCGATGTGTCCGAAGCATGCCCTCCAACCCGGATTGGGCCTACAACAGCTGCTACAGCGCAGGTGAAAGCCCCGTGGGCGGCGAGGGCGGGTGTGAGAAGAGCAGGGTGTCTCTGACCCTTGGGGAGGGGCGGGGACGGGCGGAAGCCGGGCGGGCAGGTGGTTCTGGGGGAGGGATGCAGGCCAGGAAGCAGGAGGAAGACCCAGCCGGAGGAGGGAGGGGAGGCGGGGGAGAATCTGCGGACCGCGCTCCATGAGTGTGAATCCTCTCCCGTGTCTCAGGTGTCTTCCATCTGCACCAAGGGGATGCTCTGAGTGTCACAATACCCCGGGGAAGGGCGAAGCTCAGCCTGTCTCCGCACGGAACCTTCCTGGGGCTTGTGAAACTATGATTACGATACGGACGGTGGTTTTGAGCTCGGAAGATGACTGTGGGCGCGAACTGGAGACAGCCGAGAGGGAAGAGGGGCAGCGGCCTCTTCTCGGTTTGACGGTCACCGATCTCCGCCCCCTCCTCTTCCCGTCCCCCCCCCCCCCCCCAGACTTTGATTCCGTGGCTATTAAAGAGGTGTGATACCGTGCTTTTGTCCGCCGTGCAGCCCCACACTCCCGCGGGCTGGGGGCCGTGCCGGGCTCGGGCGGCCTCCCGCGGGACCCGCTGGACCGCTTCCAGCACAGCATCCCCACCTAGCGGCCGCTCGGGAGAACCCGCCCGCGCCGGCACGGTCAGCGGAGCCTCCCTCCGCTCGCGGACTCGCGGTTCCCCGTGCCACACCCCCTCTGTGCCACCCGCGGCTTCCTCGCTCGGCCGAGAGCGTCGCCCCCACTTCTCTCCCCAGCAACGGGGCCCCCGGTTCCCAGCACTGTCTCGGGGGTGTATTTTGCGGCCGTCCGCAGGGGTACCCTTTGCGGCCACGTTACTGCTCGGGCGCCAGGTTCCGCCCTTCCTGCTCGCCTTCCGAGCTGGGACCGTGTCCGCGGAGCCTTGGGCAAACCATGCGCCCCACGCCGGCCCGCCTTCACTCCCCTGGGCTCTCCTTCCTGCTCCAGACCCGCTCAGACTTCAATAAAAGAGAATATACGGCTTCCACCCTCCTGGCGCCCCTGCCTAGCCCCGGGGTCTCCCCGCTCTCCCGGCTCGTTCCCCGGCGCGACCCCCGGGACCCAGGTTCCGCCGCCCCGGGGTTCGGAACCTGGGTCCCGGGGATCCCCAGGCGCCCCGCCGCGAAACAGGCAGCGGCGGTGGGGCCGGGGCTGGGGTTGGGCACGCAGGCGCAAACGTGAGAGAAGTGGGCTCGCCGCGCGCGTCCGAGAGCAGCGGACGTGCGCAGGCGCCGCGCCGCACGGGGCTCGAGGGCGGGGCCGGTCCCGTGGCGTCCACGCGCTCGGGTAGGCGGGACTAGGCGCGTGCTGGCCGCGCCGGCGCTGTTCGCCGGGTGTGACGCACAAATCGTGCGCCGCCAGCGCCGGTGGGCCTGGGGCTCGCGGGAGGGGAAGGAGGAGAAGGAGGAGTAGGAGGAGGGGGAGGCGGTGGAGGTGGAGGCTGAAGCAGAGCAGGAGGCGGCCGCGGCGGGGCGGGTCGGCGGCGCGGCGCGCGGCCCAGGAGCGTTGGAATCTTGAATTGAGAGGGCTGCGCCTGAAGACAGCAGGAGTGGCGGGGCCGCCGCCGTCGCCGAAGAGATGAGCCGGGAAGCTTGAGGCCGGAGACGCCCGCCCTCGGGCCCGTCCGCCCGGCTTCCCTGCTCCCGGTGAGGACGCCCCCTACCCTTCCCCCAGCTCTGCCGCGGCCTCTCCCAATTCGGGACCTCATTCCCACCTAACGGGGGCCCAGGAGGCCCTCGAAGGGTCTTCTTAAGGCCCTCGGGCGCCGAACTGTCCTGAGCCTGGAGGACCAAACCGGCGTGGGACGCATTCTGGCCCCCGGGAACGGAGCTGGAGAGGGGGCTGGGCCAGCCAGCTCACGCGGCTCAGTTCTGTCCCGGCGCCCTGATCGGGCCGCCTAAGCACCGATTGGGTTCTCTTTCAGTTTCCTTGAACATTCTTCCGTTTTCGTTAGATTTTACTCCGTGAGCCATAGCCCTGGGATCCCCATTCCCTCCTGAGACCTCCTGATTCGACCTGAGCATGCCCATCCCCTCCCCGCCCCAGTCCCCCATTCATTCCGAGGTGGTAGAGAACTCTGTTCCCACTCCAGACCACGGTTTCCTTGTGGAAGTTGTGTCCTCCTCGGTTGTCTCTGTGTCATCTCAGGGTTCTCGGGCTGAACCATGCCCCTCGTTAGGTGCTCAATTAGGATACTCTTGGTGGTCTTAAGTAGAGAAGCAGAGCCTGGAAATACTGGGTTTAAGCTGGAGATCTCAGAAATAAGCTTCCGGACGCTTGTTGCTTAGCCATAGTCTCCCTTGCTTCTGTCTGGCTGGGGGACGGATGATGACACGGACTCTAATGGGCCCCTTGTGGACCCTGTTAACCGAACAGATCAGCAGTCTGTAGGAGTTTCGCGGTTTTTTCCTCTCTCCTTAGATTGTTCGCATCTGATTCCAGTGATGGCGCGCTGAGGAAGAGGCAAGATCTTGGGGTTCAGGGTGTTTGGATCCTGACACTCTGACCATTGTTTTACAGGGCTACTGGAAGATGAAAGAGACTATACAAGGGACCGGGTCTTGGGGGCCTGAGCCTCCTGGACCTGACATAGCCCCCGCTTACTCAAGTCCCAGGCGGGAGCGTGTGCGTTGGCCCCCACCCCCTAAACCCCGACTCAAATCAGGTGGAGGGTTTGGGCCAGATCCTGGGTCAGGGACCACAGCGCCAGCCAGACGCCTCCCTGTCCCTCGGCCCTCTTTTGATGCCTCAGCTAGTGAAGAGGAGGAAGAAGAAGAGGAGGACGAGGATGAAGATGAGGAAGAGGAAGTGGCAGCTTGGAGGCTGCCCCCCAGATGGGGTCAGCTGGGAGCTTCCCAGCGGCCTCGCCCTCCCCGCCCTACTCATCGAAAAACCTGCTCCCAGCGCCGCCGCCGAGCCATGAGAGCCTTCCGGATGCTGCTGTACTCGAAAAGCACCTCGCTGACATTCCACTGGAAGTTTTGGCGGCGCCACCGGGGCCGGCGGCGGAGCCTCGCACACCCCAAGAACCATCTTTCACCCCAGGAAGGGGGTGCGACACCGCAGGTGCCATCCCCCTGCTGTCGTTTTGACTCCCCACGGGGGCCACCTCCACCCCGGCTGGGTCTGCTAGGTGCTCTCATGGCTGAGGATGGGGTGAGAGGGTCTCCACCGATGTCCTCTGGGCCCCCAGTGGAGGAAGATGGATTACGGTGGACTCCAAAGTCTCCTCTGGACCCTGACTCTGGTAAGGTGGGAGTGGGTAGAGGGAGGGGCTGGGGAGGATCCGGAGCCTCTTGCGGTGGCGACACCTGGGCCTAAAGCTAGTGGGACTGCAGAGTGAGAGCGCTCCAGAAGAGCTGTGAAATGTCTTAAGCTCCACTTTGAGTAGGAACTAAGTCTGGGCAGATAGTCAAGTCTGGGATACAGCGTCCCGGAGTGGGTGTTCCGTGTAGGGATGAGAAAGGGAGGACGTGCGGTTCAGTAAAGTCAAGACAGCCTTACACGCTTGAAATCCCTCTTCATTTGCCCTTTCAGAATAAAGGGGCATGTCCATTTGCGAAGGGTGCCACTCTCCCGGTGGTGGCGTGGGATTTTTCTGAGTAGTGGACCGTGCCACCTGTAGTGGGGGTCACTCTCACTCAGAATGTTTCTTTTTTTTTTTTTTTTTTAAAGATTTTATTTATTTATTTGACAGACAGAGATCACAAGTAGGCAGAGAGGCAGGCAGAGAGAGAGAGAGGGAGAAGCAGGCTTCCTGCTGAGCAGAGAGCCCGATGCGGGGCTCGATCACAGGACCCTGGGATCATGACCTGAGCCGAAGGCAGAGGTTTTAACCCACTGAGCCACCCAGGCGCCCCACTCAGAATGTTTCTTTCGGGGACGGGACTCAACCAAACAATTTCCGGCTGTGTTTTTACGAATCGCTGGAGTATTTATCCAACGTGTGCAGGGCATCCTACTAGGCACCAGGTCCATAGTGGCGGTAAATATCTCCGAAGTTTAGATCTCTCTGAATCGTAGTCATCTTGCTTCTACCCTGCGAGTAGTACGTCCTCTTTTCTGTTCCTTTACAGCCTCAGACGTGCTCCTTTCACGCTTGAGATTCCATTCCTTAGAGTTTGTATCTGTTGGTCCCGTTTTAGTTCATCTTTGTCTTACGGCCTGGGTGCATCATTTGACCTTACCCCATTGTTCTTTGATCCAAGCGGCCTTCTCATCCCGTTTCCCCTGTCCTGCAGGCCTCCTCTCCTGTACTCTTCCCAATGGCTTTGGGGGACCCCCCGGGCCAGAAGGGGAGCGGGGTCTGGCACCCCCTGATGCCAGCATCCTCATCAGCAATGTGTGCAGCATTGGGGACCATGTGGCCCAGGAGCTGTTTCAGGGCTCAGATCTGGGCGCTGCAGAAGAGGCAGATCGGCCCGGGGAGAAAGCCGGCCAGCACAGCCCCCTGCGGGAGGAGCATGTGACCTGCGTGCAAAGTAAGGGACCCTAGAGGGCCCAGTCTCTTTCTCCCAGCCAGCTCCTAAATCGGAGGCCTCACCCTCTCCTCTTTCCCTCTGCTCAGGCATCTTGGATGAATTCCTTCAAACTTACGGCAGCCTCATCCCCCTCAGCACGGACGAGGTAGTAGAGAAATTAGAGGACATTTTCCAGCAGGAGTTCTCTACACCTTCCAGGTGAGGCAGAAAAGCGGTGCTCTCAGAAGAGGGCTGGGACCTGAGGGTAGGAGAGAATGCTGCCGCCTTTTCTCCCATAGGGATGTGCTTGGGGAGGAGGAGGAACGTAGGACTGAAGGGGGGCAGTCTGAGGGCAGAGTGCCAAGCCCCTGTAAACTGACTGCTTTGGGGCAGGTCTTTACCTGAGGCCCCGAAATACTGCGTATACCTGATAGTCCTGTGCCTCTTTCTGCAGACTGGGCCTTTAGCAGGTCGTCAAAAGGACAAAGGACCTAAGAAAAGGTTTAGTTTTTGTTTGTTTGAAGTAGGCTCCGTGATCAATGTGGAACCCCGTGCGGGGCTTGAACTTAGGACCCCGAGAACAAGGTCAAGAGTCAGACACTCAACCGGCCGGGCCACACAGGCGCCCCAGAAGGGATTAGTGTAGGTTGTTGCTCTGGGCAGTAGAAGGGACTTCCGTTTGCCCCAGCGCCCTGTCTCTTGTGTGACTCCACTCTCGGCCGCCTCAGGAAGGGCCTGGTGCTGCAGCTGATCCAGTCATACCAGCGGATGCCAGGCAATGCCATGGTGAGGGGCTTCCGGGTGGCCTACAAGCGGCACGTGCTGACCATGGATGACCTGGGCACCTTATATGGACAGAACTGGCTCAACGACCAGGTGAGGAGCCGTGGGGACACGGGCCCCAAAGGGGATTTAGGGAGCAGGGTGTTTGGGGCCCTCTGGGGGGAGCCCTATACCCATGCTGCACCCTGCATGGCACGCTACCTCCCGTCTTCTTCCCCAGGTGATGAACATGTATGGAGACCTGGTCATGGACACAGTCCCGGAGAAGGTAGGCCTTGCCTGCCCCAGTAGAACGGCTGCGACTTTAAGCAGCCTTTTCAGTCCCTTTTACTGCTTTACCCGTGAAGACAATCTTTGTTTTTGGGGAGAGGTGGTAGAAGGCAGTGTGTTAAATTCAATTCTGTAATTTTTTTTTTTTTTTTAGATTTATTTGAGAGAGAGAGAGAGGGAGGGGTGGTGGGGGAGGGGAAGAGAGTCTCAAGGGGAATCCGTGCTGCGCATGGAGCCCAGCCAGGGGGTCGCTCTCTTGACTCCCGAGGTCACGCCTGAGCTGAGACCAAGAGTTGGAAGCCTGAGCAACTGCGCCATCGAAGCGCCCCTCAAATCTTTAACCTTGATCCTGAGCTTGCCTATTCTTCTCCCCAGCGGGAGGTGGTTTTTCCTTGGGGCTAAACGCTAAGATAAGGCTGAAAAGGACTCGGTTTTTGACGCCCAGTGGATGGGAGTGGAGGTGGTTGAAACTGGCCCTTGGAGCCTTAATGAAATGGAGCCGTGCGGGCAAAGGAGACTGGGCAGGAGGGCCTGAGCTCTTCCAGCTCCAGCCGCTCTCTTGTATCCCTGGCACAGGTGCATTTCTTCAACAGTTTCTTCTACGATAAGCTCCGTACCAAGGGTTACGATGGAGTGAAAAGGTGGACCAAAAACGTGAGTTACCAGTTCACACCCACATGTGTAAAGCCTTGACTAGAGAGGAATAGGGTTCTGTTTTCTAGAACCCCTTCCTCAAGCCTGTTCACTCAGTCTTTCGAATACAAACAGTCTTGTCGGGGGGGGGGGGGTACTGATGAAGGCACAAGGATTCAGTATTAAATAAGGACAATTTCTTGCCTTTATGGAGTAAGAGTAAATAAGCAAGTAAAACTTCAGCTGGTGCTGGGTGCTGTGATTAACATACAGGGGTAACGCAGTAGCACAGGAGGTGGGTCCTTTAGATCGGGAGGTCTGGGAAGGCCTCTCTGCTGAGACTTAGGTGATGAGGGGGAACGCTGTGTGCAGAGCTGGGGAAAAGCGGTCCAGGCAGAGGGAGCAGCAAGTACATGGGATGAGGGCGAGAAGGAGCATTGGAGGCACTGGGGGTGTCCTGTGTGGTTGGCGCATAGTGAGTGGAGGGAATAGGGGAAGACATTTGGTCAGAGTTGATCGCATAAGGATGGGGAAGCGGATCTTACTTTATGTGCCTCGAGAAGCCACTGAAAAATTTTAAGGAGGCCGGGAAATCCCTCATGTTTTGAACTCCCATTTCGTGAAGATCGAAAGCAGGCAAGAGGAGAAGCGGACAGACTAGGAGGGGAGTACGGAAGTCCAGATGGGACACGTGGGCCAGAGGGCCAAGGGCAGAGGTGGAAGTAGCTTTCTCTAGGACAGGTTTTGCAGTTAGAGCTGATAGTACTTTCTGACAGTTGGGCATGGGAATGAAGAAAAGCTAGGAATCGGGGAGGCCCGGGTTGGTAGTAGAAGTTACGGGAGAGAAGAATAGGAGGGAGCGCGTTTGGTGAGGGGGGGAGAAAAAGAGTTCCTTTCTCCCCTCCAGTTAGTTTCCCTGCCCTGTGGTTCAAAGGCTGGGAAATCTCTACAGGGAGGTGGTAGTACCCACTGGCTCTAGCATTCTTTAGTCCCCAGGTTCGGGGGCTTACAACTCTGTGAGCTGGCAGCCTGCTTCTCCCAGTAGAGATGGGGTGATGCCCAGTGTGAAGAACTTGGCCTTCTGCATTCTTGTGCTCGAATCCCACCTGGGTCCTTTTTCCTGTGACCTTCAGCAAGTTGCCTTTCTCTGCCGAGGTGCATTTACCTCGTTGTTTGGTTGATTGTTAACAACCCCTGTGGAGGATTGTGTGTTAACGGGCTGACTCTCCGCTGGGAAGCGTGCAGCTGTTAGTGTATTGTGGGTGTTAACTGATTGAACCCTCATGACACACAGAGGAGGTAGGTGCCGTTATTTTTAGCCTCTTACGCATTAGAGAACAGAGGTATAGAGATTTACTACGTAGCTTGCCCATGGTCACAAGCTAGTGAATGGAGGAGCTGGGTGTAAGCCCTGGTGTCTGGCTCCAGAATCCTGAGCCTGGGTTCATAGCTGCCCAGCCCTGGTACCTTTAAAGATTTTATTTGAGAGAGAGATCACAAGTAGGCAGAGAGGCAGGCATAGAGGAGGAAGCAGGCTCCCCACCCAGTGGAGAGCCGATGCAGGGCTCGATCCCAGGACCCTGAGATCACAACCTGAGCCAAAGGCAGAGGCTTCATCCACTGAACCACCCAGGTGCCCCAACCCTGCTACCTTTAACGTGTGGAAAGTACCTGGCCGTCCTGGGCTCTCTGGTGTGTTTACTGATAGGACCTCCTTCGACCTGCCTTCTTCCTCCCGCCAGAGTCCACATACACTGAGCCCTGCCTTAGAGTGGAGGCGCCGGGCCTTGTGCTCGGCGACTTGGCTGCTTGCCTGCGCCTCCACTCCTCTCTAGAATGCTCATGGCAACAGGCAGGACTCCCGTGCTGTCTGACCTGACCTCCGGTACTGCCCCCTTTAGGTGGACATCTTCAATAAGGAGCTCCTGCTAATCCCCATCCACCTGGAAGTGCACTGGTCCCTCATCTCTGTTGACGTGAGACGGCGCACCATCACGTATTTCGACTCGCAGCGCACCCTAAACCGCCGCTGCCCTAAGGTTTGAGAGGAAAGGGGGACAGATGGGAAGAATGTGGGGAGGAGATCCAGTGGCAAGGCATTCCGGGCAGAAGGGCAGGCTTGGGGCCTGGGACTGCCATACCCTAGGTTCAGTTGGGAAACGTAGGGCATCACTTCCTCCTTTTTTCTGTCTCTGCAGCATATTGCCAAGTACCTACAGGCAGAGGCAGTGAAGAAAGACCGGCTGGATTTCCACCAGGGCTGGAAAGGTTATTTCAAAATGGTAAGTGTCTGGGGGGCGCATGGTACGGGGTCGTGAGAGAGGTGTGATAGGAAACAGAGTTGAAGCCACATGCCTAGGAGCCTTCTTTTTATTCTCTAGAATGTGGCCAGGCAGAATAATGACAGTGACTGCGGTGCCTTTGTGTTACAGGTAAGTAGGCAGCAGCTGGGCTGACAGTTGGGAAAGGAGGTGGGGAGGCCCTCTGGCCCCCGCGATCTGGCTCTCAGGCACTTAAGGAGCAGGGACTAACCTTGTGTGTTAGAATGCAGAGATGCAGACATCGTTGGTGTTCTCGTAGTTTCCCCATCCCATGTTGGGACTGGGTCTCTTGGTCCTTGCTCTCTGGCTCTCATGTAGTTGTCTCCCAGCTTCCAGTGCTCGAACAGGCTTAGAGTCAGGCTTCTCTTGTCTGTGAAACGTGGAAGTTCTTGGATAGGCCCATCGAGCTGGATCTGGCTCCAGGAAGCACAGAGCCCAGGTCCTGGCTTGGGGGGCTGCCCAGCGGGCGGTTCTCACGGCCTGCTTTGTTAACACCCAGTACTGCAAGCACCTGGCCCTGTCTCAGCCATTCAGCTTCACCCAGCAGGACATGCCCAAACTTCGCCGGCAGATCTACAAGGAGCTGTGTCACTGCAAACTCACTGTGTGAGCCTCATTATCCCAGGCCTCAAGCCCATTGGTCAATGGGCATGGGGACGTGGGGGACCCTTCCTTCCCGAGAAACTCCAGTTCCTCTCTTGCCTCTCCCCCTCCCAGTTCCCTATGGTTTTTCATATTTAAATGTTTTAATTGATTTCTGTATTTTTTTTCTTTGAGAGAATACTTGTTATTTCTGATGTTCGGGGGCGGCCATGGAACAGCCTCTTCTCCCTCTGCTAGGGAGGAGTTTGGCCTTGTGGCCTGGGTGGGGCGGTCATCCCCCTTCCGTGTGCAGGGGCGGGGGCAGGAAAATCTGTGCTGGGGTGGTGGGCGGGCAAAGGGAGTATGCCTGCCAGATCTTCAAACTTTGTTTTATACGTATATATAAACGCCACGGTCCTGCTCTGCTCAATAAAGGATCCTTTGGAGATGCGTCGTGCTGGTCTTCCTTCTGGCAGGCTCTGTTAGCCACCGCTCGTGGGTGCTGAGAGCCCGCGGGCCTGCCTTCCGTCGCGGGCTCGGGCAGAGACGAAGCCCCCCGGCGGGGAGGCCGGGGCTGCAGGGGGCCGCGCGCGAACGCAGGGATGGGGGAGCTTCGCGGCAGCACCCCCGGGCGCGCGGGGGCTCCCCTTCCCTGCCCGGGGCCGGCAACGCGCCTCCGGTTTCCACCGTCCCCCGCACACTCGCAGCGGCTCGGGGCGGGGTCCGGGCTACCTTTGCGGCAGGAGGCGACAAACTACACCGTGGGTCCGGCGCGCATCGGCAGCAGAGGCAAAGGGAAGCGGCGGTCTCGGGAGCCCGGAAGTCCCTGGAGGCTGAAGCCTCGCCCCTCGCGCGCGATAGGGCCAGCCAGGCCACATGACCTGGGCGCTCTCGCCTCCGCACGTGTAGGGGCGCTGGGCCCCAAGATGGCTGCCAGGCCTCGAGGCCTGACTCCCGTATGTCACTTCCGCGCCGGCGAGAAAGGCGGGCCCCGCAGCCAATGGGGCTGTGGGGCGGGGCCTCGCCTGGATAGGCGTTCAGGTTGTCCAATGGTGGTGGCGAGCCGGAGAGCCTGCGAGCTGACGTCACGCTGAGTCGCGGAGTGCCGGCAGGCGGGGCCGAGGCGGCCAAGCCAATACGATGGCTGGGGCGGGGTCGGGCGCTCTATAAGTTGTCGATAGGCGGGCACTCCGCCCTAGTTTCTAAGGATCATGTCTGCGAGTCAGGATTCCCGGTAAGAAAATCTTTTGCAAAAAATCGGGGCTACTCGCCCTGCTGCTCCCTTCCGAGGGCCCCGCGGGGTAGGGGGTGGGGGCAGCCGAGCCCCACCGCCCCGGGCCTCCAAACCCCCCCATCCCCCGCCCCGGGCTTACGCGGGACAGCCACGCCGGGAGGCCCGGTCCCGGGGGTCGAGGGGGCAGGGCCGGGACCTGGCCGGCGAGCGGGGACGGCCCGGCATGCGAGGCACGCCGGGAGGCCGATCCCCCCACCCCACCCCACCCCCCCGACACAGCGCGCGAGGCTCCGGCGCCCGAGCGACAGGCGGGGTCGCGACCCGGCGTGGGGGACGGCGGCGGTGGCGGCCGCCAGCGCGCTTGTCCCGGGCCGGCGGGTTCGGACGCCTCTCCGGCAGAGGGAGGGCTCGCGCGCGCTCGGGGTTCCGGGGGGCTCCGACAGGACAACTCGCCGGAGCGAGGGGCGCCCGGGTGCTCCGAGCCGGGCGCTCGGTCGCGCGGAGAGCCGGGGCGGGGCGGAGGAAGCCGGCCGTTCAGTGTGCTGGTTTTCTTGACGGCCAGGACCGAGCCTGACCCCGAGGAGCGGCCGCGTGAGGCACCGGGAGCCTACCCGGCGCCGGGCGGGCGGGTCCATTTTGCCGCACAAGCCGGGCAATTGGCAAACTGCGGATGGGCAGGTCCACTTTCCTTCAGGGGTGAGCGGCCTGAGGTATGGGAGGGCGACGCCATTTCGCGACGGGGGCGGGCGGGCTGTGGATTGTTCGTGGCGGGGGGAGACGCCGCCGGGTGGTCGAGGGAGCGAGCACATGGCGGCCCGAGGGGCTCCCCTCCCCCAGCCCGCTTGGCTTCTGAGTGTTGTGCAATCTCCCCCTTCGCTAGCTCGGCTGGGGCTCATTGTGCGCGAGGCCGCCACCGCCCGCGGCCTCCCACATCCGGGCACCGCGAGGGGGGGGAGCCGGGCTGGAGGGGGTGGGGGAGGACGCGGGCGGAGTGACGTGGGGGGAAGGGGATGTCCTCCCCTCGCAGCCGGGAGGTGAGGGGCGGGACTTCCGGCGCGCCGGGGCCGCCGGGGGTGGGGGGGAGGCGCACGCGCTCGGGCTCGGAGCTACCCGGCCCGGGACACGTGGGCCCGGGAGTGCAGCGGCGTTCTGACTCGGTGGAGGAAGGGCTGTGTCCCCGGGGAGCTTGCGGGGTCGGCGCGGGAGTGGAGGCCGACGGCGTGGTGCGGGCCAGCCGGCCGCGGGGAGGGTTTCTCACCGTCTCAGTGGGCTTCTCCTTTCCGCCAACAGATCCAGAGACAATGGCCCCGATGGAATGGAGCCCGAAGGCGTCATTGAGGTGAGCTTGGGACTCCTGCGCCTTTGTCCCTGTTTCTGGGAAAGACGATCTCCACCGGTGTCCCCTGGTCTCGGGAGCGCCGATGTCCCCTGCCCGCGTAGATCTGCCCCGCCCCCACCCCAGTCCTGATTCCTTACCAGGGATTTGTTCCAAGTGTTTGCGTCCCGGAGCGCGTATAGCAGTCCGTTAGGTCTGAGTTCTGTCTTCTGCACCGTTCGCTCTCTGGTTTACCAGCGGCCTGGCGCCGTCTGGGGATTTCCTGGGCCTTGAGTCTGGGACCCACCTGGCCTCCCTGGCGGGAGGAGAGACGGGGGCTGTGGCACTCTAAGTGAGGATGAGGACTGCTTCTCCACACTGGAACACCGCGTGGTCTCTCCTGCCACTGGAAACTCTCTGTCCCACAGAGCAACTGGAATGAGATCGTTGACAGCTTTGATGACATGAATCTCTCCGAGTCCCTTCTCCGTGGCATCTACGCCTATGGTTTCGAGAAGCCTTCTGCCATCCAGCAGCGAGCCATTCTTCCTTGTATCAAGGGTGAGCGCACTCGGCCCCAGCACAGGTTCTGGACTGTCCCTGACCTGGGTAGAGCGGCACCTGGTTGGTGGTGCTTGTCTCATATCAGTTAGGGACAGAGCAACTCCTTGTTCATCCCAGCTCGGCTTTTGGTCTGTGCCCATGTCTGGTTCATGCCCTGGACACACGGATTGCTGGTGTGATTTCAGTAAGGTGGTGTTTTAGGCAGCTCGTGACTGTTCGTATCTGTGTTCCTACGCCAGCTCGGTGCAGTACTGAGGGAGTTAGTGATCTGGTCTGGTTCACGCTGTTGCCCGTGAGCTCTGCACAGCACCAGGGTGAAGTCTGAAGCACTTGACGCTCGCCCCGCAGCTCTGTGGGGTGCTCGCTGGTGGAGCAGAGCCCTGAAGGTCTGATCCTGAGATACGCGCTCATGTCCGATTCTGCTGCTCTGTTTAGGTTATGATGTGATCGCTCAAGCCCAATCTGGGACGGGGAAAACAGCCACTTTCGCCATATCGATTCTGCAACAGATTGAATTAGATCTAAAGGCCACACAGGCCTTGGTCCTGGCGCCCACTAGAGAGCTGGCTCAGCAGGTGAGCATGTCGCTTCTTCCCTCTTCTCTGAGGGGCTGCTTTAGGAATGATCATCAGAAAACGGGGAGGGGTGTGCTCCCCGCAGATCACTGTTCATCAGAAGTGAAGCATGGGCTGGGGGGACGGCTAGAGGGGCCAGCACGTGAGGTGAAGAAATAAGTCAGGGCTCCGGGATATCTGGACGCTCTTGGGGTTAATTATAAGCCCTCTCTTGCCCAAACACAATAAGTATTATTTTCTCCACCCATTTCCTGAGTCAAACGAAAAGGTGGAGCCTGGCTGGCCGGGCAGGTTTGGTGGCTGTTTGATGAACAGAGCCCCTGGCGATGGGCAGAGAGACACCTCGGCAGTGGTGGTGCGCTCCTATCAGCTGGGGACATAGTGGACGCGCTGCCTTTTGTTCATCCTAGCTTGATGCCTGCGTTGGTGGCCAGAGCTGTTTCATGCCTGGGGCACATAAAACCCTTGTGGTAGACTGTTTTTCTGGCTCTTGGAGGAGGGAGGGTCAGAAACGGTAATCTCTTCACTAGAAAAGTTGCGTGGAGAAGTCAGGGTGATTCTGTGCTGACTGAACAAAGATAAGGTACGGCAGGCTAGGGAGAGTTCTAGAACTCTAGAAAGACCTTATGTGTGCAGAAGATACTTTTCTAGAAACTGCACATGCCCCCAGCACAGGTCGTGTGGCCAGAGTTCGCTAGGATGCAGGTTGATGGCCTTCTGTTCCTAAGACTGGTGGCTACGAGACCCGACGAAATGGGTTGCTGGTGGCCTAGGAAGGGGGTTACTGTGAACCCTTGTGTTCATAGGAGCCAGACGCAGCTCACACCCTGAGCCTGCCGCTTAACGCACGTGATCTTAAATGAAGCATCTGTCCGTTCCTTGTCTGAGCAGTGAGTTCAACGGCGCCATGTCTGGGTTGGAGAGTAAGCGTCTCGTCCTGACCCTCTTCAATGGGGCCTGGCTCTGGTGCAGCTCACATACGGGCACTTGTCTCCGGGTCTAGATACAGAAGGTAGTCATGGCACTGGGAGACTACATGGGCGCCTCTTGCCACGCCTGCATCGGGGGGACCAACGTGCGCGCCGAGGTCCAGAAGCTGCAGATGGAGGCTCCGCACATCATCGTGGGCACCCCGGGCCGGGTGTTCGACATGCTGAACCGCAGATATCTGTGTGAGTCCTGTCCCCCACCCCCCCCCCCCCCCCCCCGGCCCCCCATGCCGGGCTGCGCTGCTCTGTGATGAGCCCATGCGTGTCATCTGAGCCTGCTTCCCGTCCCGAGCCTGGGGGAGTGTTCTGCTTCTTGGGGCTGCCAGTTGGCTGAGCGGGTCGCGGGCGGAGGATCAGCCTTCATCTTCTGAGAGCAGTACTCTTGTCCCTTCCTTGTTTCTCATCGGGAAATCAAAGTCTCCTGTCGTCCCCTCATTCTGGTCTGCTGGTATCTTCTCTCACTAGCTCCCAAGTACATCAAGATGTTCGTCCTGGACGAAGCCGACGAGATGCTGAGCCGCGGCTTCAAGGACCAGATCTACGACATATTCCAGAAGCTCAACAGCAACACCCAGGTGAGCAGCTGCTGCCCGAGCTCCCGCTGCAAAGGCGAGGCTGCCTTTGTGCGACGTGTGCTTGGGGTGACAGCAGGGGTGCCATTGAGAACGCTGGGGTCTCCCCTTCAGCGGTCGCACCGGCTTCCTTTGCAGGTGGTCCGCGGGAAGGGGGGCGAGCGTCGTGAAGGCCCCCCACCCCAAGACTGCTGTTTTGTGTTAGGTGGTTTTGCTGTCTGCCACAATGCCTTCCGACGTGCTCGAGGTGACCAAGAAGTTCATGAGGGACCCCATCCGGATCCTGGTCAAGAAGGAGGAGCTGACCCTGGAGGGCATCCGCCAGTTCTACATCAACGTGGAGCGAGAGGTGGGGCCCAGCGCAGGAGGCGGGCCGGCGGGGCGCAGTTGGGTATAGCCCCTGACGGGTCTCCCCTCCCCCACCCAGGAGTGGAAGCTGGACACACTGTGCGACTTGTACGAGACCCTGACCATCACACAGGCGGTCATATTCATCAACACCCGGAGGAAGGTGGACTGGCTCACCGAGAAGATGCACGCGCGGGACTTCACCGTGTCCGCCATGGTGCGTGTCCCTGGCATGTCGCGCCTTAGGTACCTGCTCCCCTGCGCCCGCGGGCCCGTGACATGCGTCCTCCCCTCTGTTCCTGCTCTAGCACGGAGACATGGACCAAAAGGAACGAGACGTTATCATGAGGGAGTTCCGCTCGGGCTCCAGCAGAGTGCTGATCACCACTGACCTGCTGGTGAGTGGGGGGCAGCCGCCGGGCAGGGAGGAAAAAGGGAAAGTCCAAGCTGATTCCCTCTCCAGGGGGCCCGCTCATGCCCCTCTTCCGGAAAGTAGCAACTTGGAAGACGATCTGGCGTGCCTGAGGCTGCTCGGGGACAGGGCACGTCTGTTCGTTTGCCTGCCTTTGGCCGCCTACACTCACTCCAGTCCCTCCGGCTCGATTGTGTTGCGCTCGTGCTGACGCGTCCTCTCCCCTGACCTAGGCCAGAGGCATCGATGTGCAGCAGGTTTCTTTAGTCATCAACTATGACCTTCCCACCAACAGGGAAAACTACATCCACAGGTAAGCGTAGATCTGGAATGTTCCCGCAGCTTGCCCTGAGCTAAAGTTCTTTCCTCCTCCCTTTCCGTCATTCATCCTCCCTCACCCTGAGATGTCCTTGTTTCCCACCAGAATCGGTCGTGGGGGACGATTTGGCCGTAAGGGTGTGGCTATTAACATGGTGACAGAAGAAGACAAGAGGACTCTGCGAGACATCGAGACCTTCTACAACACCTCCATCGAGGAGATGCCCCTCAATGTCGCTGACCTCATCTGAGGGGCTGTCCTGCTACTAGGCCCCCCAGGATTCAATCTGGGGGGCTGAAGAGCAGCAGGAGGGGGGAGGGAAGGGAGTCAAGGGATGGACATCTTGTCATTTTTTTTTTCTTTTTTTTTTTTCTTTGAATAAATGTCACTTTTTGAGGCAAAAGAAGGAACCGTGAACATTTTAGACCCCCTTTTCTTTGGGGCAGGCTCTTGCTCCAGGCGCCGTCTCTTCTCCCAAAAACACTAATCTGTCCGTAACCTAGTCAACCTCCAAACCCCAGAGGCTCTCCCCCACCCCAGCTGAACGCTTCTGAGGATCCAAGGGGCCACAGTGTCACTCAGCCTCATTTGCTGGACCAAATCTGGAGAATCCCTGAGTTCAGTGACGCAGGGGATTGTCCCCAGGTGGGGGGGAGCAGGGGAGGAAAAATGGTAGCCATTTTTACATTGTTTTGTATAGTATTTATTGATTCAGGAAACAAAACACAAAATTCTGAATAAAATGACTTGCAAACTGCCTGTTTGGGCTTCTTATTTCTTGCCTCCCCTTCCTTCCCACCTGTTAATGGCACATCTCTGGCTGTGCTCCCCACCTCCCAGCGAGTAGTCATTAATTACCCTTCCAAATTCTCCTCGGATTGCTTTTTTTCCCCACCTCCCTTCTGACCAGAAAGTGGTCCCATTCACTGGATGGGACACTGCTCTGTAATGGGCTGGACGCCAGGCGCCAGCAGCATCATAAGTGCCTCACGTGTCTCAGCCAAGAGGAAGTGACAATAGAAACCTTTCCCGGGGTGCCTGGGTGGCTCAGTGGGTTAAGCCTCAGCCTTCAGGCCCAAGTCTGGCTTTCTGCTTGGCAGGGGGTTGGCTCTACTCTGCCCAGCCTACTTGCTATCGTCCCCAAAAAAAAAAAAAAAAAAAAATTACCTTTTCCCAATCCCTTGGCTTGCATACCCCATTTCTGGAGAACATTGGGGTATGTGTCCCCACGGGTTTTGTAATCCCTTGGGACCTCCAGCAGACTTCGATACATCGTTCCCTGAGGAACAGCTGCCCCCAGACTCCCATCTATGTGTGACCTTTTGAAGGCTGGTGGCTCCCACTTGGGAAGCCAGGGCAACCCCCTCAATGACAAAGGTCAGTGACTCAGGGATCTGTGGCTGGGGCTGAGGTGTCTGAGTCAGGCTGGGGGCGGACCGCCGAGTTACAGGAAGTCAAAATCCTAATTCCTCCTTTTCCAAACGGAGGCAGAGGGCTAGGGTTGAGCAAGCAGCGGGTGCAGACAAACCCAACCCGGACTGCCCGGGTGAGGCCCGTCGGTCATGAGGCTCGCTGTACTCTTCTTGGGCGCCTTGGGGCTGCTGGCAGGTAAGGAGAGGCCCAAGGGGAGGAGGCCCGGGAGGAGCATGCCAGGGCTGCTGACCAGTCTTCTCTGCTGAAAGCCCAGGGGACAGGGAACGACTGTCCTCATAAGAAGTCGGCCACTCTGCTGCCGTCCTTCACGGTGACCCCGACGGCCACAGAAAGCACAGCAAGCCCTGGGACCACGAGCCACAGAACCACCACGGCAGGCACCACCAGCCAAGAACCCACGACAGCCACTCACAAGCCCCCGACCACCCCCAGCCATGGAAACACCACAGTTCACCCAACGACGAGCAACAGCACCACCGCCAGCCCCAACACCTCCACCAGCTCCCCCCACCCCGGGCCCCCCCCCCCCCCGCCCCCACCGCCCCGTCCCAGCCCCGGACCCCAGGAGGCCATAGGAGACTACACTTGGACTAATGGCTCCCAGCCCTGCGTCCGGCTCCAAGCCGAGATTCAAATTGGAGTCGTGTACCCAACCCAGGGCGGAGGAGAGGTAACGCCAAGAGACAGCGGAGGACCAGAGGGGCAGGGGTGCAAGGCCCCCCCGCTGCGGGGCAGAAGGGGACACGCGGGGTGGGCGTGCAGAGGGTGAGGAGCCTTGGACGGCACAACCGTGTTCTCACAGCACACTCATCTGCAGGCCTGGGGCATCTCGGTCCTGAACCCCAACAAGACCAAGCCAGAGGGGCACTGTGAGGGCGCCCACCCCCGTCTGCTGCTCTCGTTCCCCTCCGGACAGCTCAGCTTCGGATTCGAGCAGGTACCTCGCCCTCATCCCCGCCCCCGTGAGCCCTCCTCCCACCCAGCACTCGCTGCGTTCCTGACTCGGGGCCGAGGCTGCTGCTGTCCCCGGCCGCCCTGAGCCTTCCCGGTCACCTCCCCAGGACCCACAGCAGGGCGCGGTCTACCTGAGCTCCGTGGCTCTGGAGTACAACGTGTCCTTTCCTCGGGCAGCGCGTGAGTAACCTGCCCCCTCGCCACGGGCCCTGGACGTCCGGGCTCCTGAAGGGACAGCAGTCGGGGACAGGGACAGAGAGCTGACCCTTCCTCGCTCTTCCAGAATGGACCTTCTTGGGTCAGAATTCATCCCTTCGAGCTCTCCAAGCGCCCCTGGGCCAGAGCTTCAGCTGCAGAAACGCGAGTGTCGCCCTGGCACCATCTCTGCGCCTTGACCTGCTCAGGCTGAAGCTGCAGGCTGCTTGGCTGCCTCCCTCAGGGGCCTTTGGGCCAAGTAAGACCCCTCCTCCCCCTCTCGGACAGCCCCCCTGCCCTGGGCCCAGAACCCTCCTTCTTACACCTCGAACTTCCCTTCCTCTCTCAGGCCTGCTGTGGCTCTAAGGCAACCGTCCCACTTCCTCTGCAAGACTCTGGCCGCCTCCCCTTTTGTTTAGGGCCCAGGGTCTTCTAGGGGAGCTCCGCGCCAGCCTCCCACTTGCCAGCGTGCCCCCCGAGGCCTCCTCCCTCCTGGGCCTGGCCTCCATGTGATTCCTGCCCGCTCTCCCTCTCTGCCAGGTTTCTCCTGTCCCAGCGACCAGTTCAACCTGCTGCCCATTATCATCGGCTTGGTGGCGCTTGGCCTCCTTGCCCTGGTGCTGGTTACATTCTGCGTGGTTCGGAGACGCCCACCCTCCTACCAGGCCCTCTGAGGATCTGTCCCAACACCAGAGGACACCACGGGGCCCGCGGTTCTCCCCACTCAACTGACTCAGAAACAAAAGTTGTCTTCCCTCTCCGCCTTCAGGGTCACCAACAAGAGCAGAGCTAATGCCACATGGAGGGATGGAGGAGAAAGATTTTTGTTAGATGTGACCTGTTTTTCCTCTCCCAGCCCCAGAATAATAAAACCTGCTCGAACCTCTGCCCTCGCTTTCCCCTTTCTTATCAGGACTAAAGGCCGCTGAGGGTCGCTCACACGCCTTTCTGCGCCGTCCAGGACTGAGGCTCAGCCAGCCAGACCGTCAGGTCACAAGTGACCACGTGCCCTCATGGGTTCACAGCTGGTGTTGCATCCGCCTTGCCCCCCTTCTCCTCTCTCCGGGGCCTCTGGCTGCTCCAGCGCCCCCTGCCCTCCAAACCAGTTTTGCAGTCACAGGTGAAGCAGGTAGCAATGGCCAATGAGCGTGGGTGGGAAGGTCACACCTGGGTCATTTCCTTTCCAAGGGCTATGTGGGATCTCCTCTGTGGGAAGCTCTGCGCTGCCCGCCGCCGTCGGGGGAGGGTTGCACACGCCGATCAAACCCTCCTGCACCAGGGATGCTCCTATCCCAGCTGCGGCAGCAGTGGGTACTCTGACCTCCACCCACAATCACCCTCGGTGTTCCCCCAGTAACAGAATACCTCCAGCCAGGGCCCCACACCTCCAGCCCCGTGCGGTGTACCTTGTGGGAGCGGGAGGCCGCCACAGGCCGGTTGCCCACCCCAGGCCGGTTGCCCCACTTCACAGGAGCCCACGGTGCAATCGCCGGGGGGCCAGGACCGGGCCCTTCCAGCTGCAGAGGCCCTATAAGGCCGGAGACCTGTCCCACTGCGAGCAGCCCCACCACCGCGTCCCCGGACATCCGGGGTGACCTTGCTGACTGTGGCAAAGAACGGCCGCTCGACAGCGTGATCCGTGCGGCGGGCGCCAGGCCCGCCTCCCCCAGGATGGCTGGGAGCCCGAGTCCCAGCGCGGGGGGCGGAGGACATCGCTCCGCGGTGCTGGGGGGTCGTCCACGCTGGCCTTTCCCAAGGGGGGCTGCTGGGCCCGGGGCCTCGCTGGCGCGCTCGCTCGGCACGCGGCCGCAGAGGGCGCAGGGGTCGGCTGGGTGGGAGGAAACCCTCAGGTCCCGGGGCTCGCCTTCCTCCCCTGCTGCCTCCTCTTCCGCCTCACCGTCCCGGCCCAGCAGCTGCGGGCACACCCAGCCGCCAAGGCCCAGGGAGTCGGGGGAGGTGGAACGGGGGCCTGCGCGCAGCTCGGCGCCTCCGGGGGGCTACCTGCCGCAGGCCGTCCTGCTCCTGCCGGCGCCCCTCGCTCTGGAGACGCCGAGACAACAGGAGACAGGGAGCCACGGCGCCCCCACCCAACGCCCTTCGGGAGACTCAAGTGCCTTCTCTCTCAACTTCGAACAACGTGGAGTCGTCCGGGGTCGAACAAGATGGCGCCGCGCAGCAGGCGCGGAGAGAGGCAGGAGGCTCCGTGTTGCCTCCGAACTGGAAGCGTAAACAAAGGCGCGATAGGTGGAACTGCGCAGGCGCAGAGCCCGAGGACGCCGTGAAATTCGAACAGAGAGGGTGCGTCCGAAACGTGGTCTCTCGGCGAGACCTATTTCACGCTGCTGAAGGGAGGGGGCAAGAAAGAGCGGGGACCAGGGAGGGCGGAAGCCCAGAGCGCGCATGCGCAGCGTCGGTCAATGGCGGCCCGGAGATGGGCGGAAGCTAGTTTTGCAACATGGCGGCCGAGGCAGACGGCCCGCTGAAACGGGCGCTGGTACCGCTTCTCTTACCTGAGAAATGCTACGACCAAATTTTCGTCCACTGGGACTTGCTTCACGGTGAGCTTTATTCGGCCTCCTATCAAAGGTCTGCTCGAGCGCCCTCGGCCATCAGTGGCGCGGGACTGCGGTCCAGGCGGCGGCCTCCCCTGCCGGGCTGAGCCGGGCGGAAGTCCCTGCGGAGGGTGCGGAAGTGTCTCGGCCTCCATAGACGGGGGCTCGCCTTGTATGGGCGGGCGGCGGCGGCAATACTTATTTATGAGAGTGAGAGATGGGAAGACTCCAGCAGCATAGAGCAGAGTCACAGCCTGACTATATGTCGTTACGGTTTCCAGTAGATCGATAGGATCCCGGGGTCCTGGGATGGAGCCCCGCGCCAGGGAGCCTGCTCCTCCCTCTCCGTCTGCCGCTCCCCCTGCTCCTGCTTTCTCTGTCAAATAAAATCCTAAAAAGGATGAGTAGACCTTGAGCAGGTGGCGCTTGCTTCAAGGCCTCTGAGGAGTCTGGGCTCCAGGGGCACTTCCAGGGGCGCCTCTAACCCTCCACGTTTGCTCATGGTGTGAGCCTGGGGTGATCCCGCAGTGCCCCGTCTGCGAGGCAGACCCCCACGAAGCCCACTGCAGACGTCAGTTCCCGTGGGAGACCGGCGCAGCCTGCTCTTGTCCCTTCCTGGTCCCCCACTGTGTGCTCCTGGGACCCGACTGAGTCGAGCTCCTAGGGCTACAGAAGGTGTGGGCCAGGGCCTACCTGAAGGGTAACGTGAGGTCCCTGAGCAGGGGGCCAGGGACAAGGGTTCAGGAATGAATGGGTCGGGAGACAACTGGAGTGGATCGCCTGGGTTGCCCAGATGAGGCGAATGAAGGATCTGTGGACTCCTGGGCATTGCTCAGCTTTGCACAAGGGAAGCGATGGAGACTCTTGGAAGTCACACCAAGAAGTTTTTTCTCCCACATTTTTATTTGACCAAGAGCGTGTGCATATACAAGCAGGGGGAGCCACAGGGAGAGGAAAAGGGAAAAGCAGGGAGACCAACGTGGGGCTCGATCCCAGGACCCCGGAATCACGACCTGAGCCAAAGGCAGACGCTTAACCCACTGAGCCACCCAGGCGCCCCCACACCAAGCAGTTTAGATGTAATCCACAGGGTAAAGCCTGTTTTGGAAAAGTCAGCTGACAGTGATAGGATTTGGAGCAGGAAGGCCCAGGCCTTTTGCACCCGCCACCAGACAGCCCCAGGCTTCCCTGTGCGGCTCTGTCCAGGTCTTAAGGAGCGGTGGCAACCCACCGCAGTGTGAAGAGCCTTTAGCCCTGGGCTGGGTTCGAGAGGCGTCCGTTCTGTTTACTCCTTTTTTTCTCTTCTCAGTCCCCTGCCTCAAGATCCTGCTCAGCAAAGGCCTGGGTCTGGGCATTGTGGCTGGGTCACTGCTGGGTACGTACCTTGTATCTTATCTTCTTTCCCTGCCGTTGGGTAGAGGGCGGAGAGCTGAGATGCAAGAAACTGGGTGGGTCCCTTAACCAGAAGTGGAGGTCCAGGCTTCCCAGCCCGCTGTCTGGCTGGGGTGGTATGCTCCCGAGAGATACACACCCCTCATCCCTGGCTTTCTCTTCCGGTCTCTAGTAAAACTGCCGCAGGTGTTTAAAATCCTGAGAGCCAAGAGTGCTGAAGGGTTGAGCCTTCAGTCAGTAATGCTAGAACTAGTGGCACTGACGGGGACCATGGTCTACAGCATCACCAACAACTTCCCGTTCAGGTGAGGAAGCCCACCGTTGGTCTCCAAGGGTGAATGTCCACATGTCTAGTGGGGGTAGGGCGAGGCAGGTAAAAGGGTGGCAAAGCTTAAGCCCTTCTTGAAATCTGGCCGTCTTCTGTGGTCGTGACGAGAGGAGAGTACGCCACGGATGGCCAGGACCTAGACGGAGTCTGTCAGGGGTGCTGAAGGACAGAGAGTCATCAGCGAACTGTGGCCCCAGATGGAGGGGCCATGGAGGCTCTCCCTGCCTCTTTCCAGGCCCGCCTTTCTTCCTCCCAACTCTTGACTCTGCAGCTCTTGGGGAGAAGCCCTGTTCCTGATGCTCCAGACTGTCACCATCTGCTTCCTGGTCCTGCACTACAGAGGACAGACCGTGCAAGGTGCTGGGGGTTCAGCGGAGAGCAGGCTGTGGCTCTAGCGGGCCCTGTAGGGCACTCCAGCCTGGGCAAGCCCGAGCACTGGAGAGGCTCAGCGGGACTCCTTACCTCCCTGACCCCCAGGTGTCACCTTCCTATTGAGTTACGCGCTGGTACTGCTGCTGCTGCTGTCCCCGCTGACGCCCCTGGCCCTCATCACCCTGCTCCAGGCCTCCAACATGCCTGCGGTGGTCGTGGGGAGGGTGAGGACTGGGAGCAAAGGAAGGGTGCAGGGCGGGAGCCCCATGTGTGGCAGTGCGGGTGGACCAGGAGGGGCCGGCAGCTCTGTGACGGGACACAGGGAGAATTCCGATGTCACCGTTCACCGTCTCCCCCAGCTGCTCCAGGCGGCCACCAACTACCGGAACGGACACACGGGCCAGCTCTCAGCCGTCACCATCTTTCTGCTGTTTGCGGGGTCCTTGGCCAGAATCTTCACCTCCATTCAGGTGAGCGCCTCTTCTGCCCTCCAGGGGGCACTAGAGTCCTGCCCTTGCGCAGCGGCGGGCTTGAAGCGGCCCTTTCTCTGAACACTTTCTGGGTCCCTGGCGGTCTCTCTCGCAGGAGACGGGAGATCCCCTCATGGCGGGCACCTTTGTGGTCTCTTCTCTCTGTAACGGCCTCATCGCCGGCCAGCTCCTCTTCTACTGGAACGCAAAGGCCGCCCACGGGAAGAAAGAGCAGTAGGGTGGAGCTGGCTCCTGGAGCGGGTTCGGGGTCTCTTCCAGTCGTCCCCCCAGCCTCAGGGTCGTTCCCATCCGGACCAGCCTGCTGGTGGGACCTCTCCTCCTCCTTCATTCCTCTACGGCCGTGACAGCCTTGAGCCAGGGTTTTGGTGGGAATGCGTATCCTGGGACAGGCGTCGGGATTTTCAGGCTGACACTTTGCACGGCCCCGTGCGTGTACTATTAACTAACTTAATCATTCGCACACTTCTCCAGCAGCAACCCCCAGCTGTTTAGGTATCTGTGGGGCCCAAGTCAGCCCTGTGCTCCCCCATCTCCCCCAGCGGCCCTAGAGGGCAGAGCCTGCAGATGGAAGCATCTGGGGGCCTGGGGCTGCTGCCTCCCTCCCCGAACCTGGCTGGGACGAACCTGGCTGGGACGGCCTCCAGGACCCCAGTGCTGGCTGGGGGTGGGGCGGGGGGACGTGACTCAGGCAGGGCCGCAGGGTGGGGTGAGGCGGTTCCTGCTCTGGCAGGTCCAGGCGGAAGGGAGCGGAGACTGCTGGTTCCTGCTGCGGGGGGGGGTGGGGGGGGGGCAGACACGGGGCAATAAAGACGCCGAGACATGGTTTAATTGTAAAAACTGTGTTCATCCTACAAAAAAGTGTGTTTTGGGGGGGAGGTGGCAGCGGAGATGGGGACCATAGCACAGGCCTCCTCTGAACTGGGGTCCAAAAGAGTTCTAAAGGAGGGTGTGCAGCTTGGGGTGGGGGTGGGGGCCCTTCCTGGGAGGTCCGTGTCCACCGGGGTTAGAGGTGGGTCAGGGGCAGGGGGGACCCCGACAGGGGAGGGTTATACGGAGTGGGAGAGCCTGGGGGGAGGTAGGGGCTATAGTGGGGGAGCAGCTCTCCCTGGAGCCGGGGGTTACTCTGAGGGAGGGAGCACGGCGAGGTCGTCTCTGGTTTACAGTGGGAAGAGCTGTGGAGAGAGAGACACCGGGGTTAGAGCCTGGACCAGGCTGGGAGGGGCCGGCAGGGCCCCCCACTCACAGGTGGGGGGGGCTGGACCAGCTCTGGGCAACGTAGGAACAAGGCCCCGGCTGTCTGGGCCCCACTGGATGGCGCTGTCCGGAGCAGACCCCGGGACAGCTTGAGAACAGCGGCGCGGCCCTGTCGGGGCACGCTCCGGAGGGCCAGCTTGCGTGCTGCGCCTGTTTTCCTCTTTTGGGGCGGGAGGCCAGGAAGGGGCAGAGTTGGGCCTGGCCTCTCCTTGCCCCGCGGGCAGGGAGAGGAAGCCGGGTCACAGGAGGGCCAGAAGCAGGGAGGAAACGGGAAATTCAGGTAACTAGAAACAGGATCACATCCTGGGGGCCGGCACTGCGGGGCTGGGATGGAAACCCGGGGCCACCAGAGCGCTTCCAGGCCAGCGCGGCACTGGAGCGTCCTCCCAGTCGGCTCCCCCCACCCCCAGAGTGGCCCTGCCCGTCCCTCAGCCCGCTCCCCACCGCTCACCCGTATCCGCCGGGCAGGTAGGCTGTGGAGTAGTTGGGCGGCTGGTACCCAAAGCCTCTGCTCCCCTGGGTGGTCGCGAACCCGGGGCCCCAGACCGGCCCGCCAGCAGCCACGCCGCCGCTCCCCGCGCCGAAGTGGGGCGCCCCGGCGCCCGAGCTCTTGGCCTTGCGCCGAGGCCGGTACTTGTAGTCGGGGTAGTCGCGCAGGTGCCGGGCGCGGAGCCGCTTGGCCTCTTCCACGAAGGGCCGCTTCTCGTCCTCGCCCAGCAGCTTCCACTGCGCGCCCAGGCGTTTGGAGATCTCCGAGTTGTGCATCTTCGGGTTCTGCTGCGCCATCTGGCGGCGCTGCGCGGAGCTCCACACCATGAACGCGTTCATGGGCCGCTTCACCTTCTCCAGGGGGAGCCCCCCCGGAGACCCCTGGGCTCCCGGCGCCCTCCCGCTCCTGGCAGCCCGAGGGCGAGTTGGCAGGAGCCGCGGGGGCAGGAGGCTGCAGGCTCCAGACCTGGTCGTGGGAAGGGCCGGGAAGCGCCATGGGGGCGTGGGGCGGAGGGGGAGGAGGGAAGCCTCGAGGGGGCGTCCCGCGCGCCCTCCCCTCCGAAGCGCAACGTCGATGCCCAAACCCGGGGTCCTTAAAATGCAAGTGTCTTCCTAGTCTCGAGTCGTTCCAGAGGAACTCGTGTCCCTAAAAAGTAGGCGTCGTCCCCAAGTTCAGAGTCCTGAGAACGGAGCCCCTGCTCCCAACCAATGAGGCGCACCTGGGAGAGCCGGCGCTAGGCCCGCCGCCGGGCACCCCGCACGGCGCAGGCTGCGCGCTCCGCTCCCCGACGCCGCGACGCGTCCGCCCCAGCCCGCCTGCTGCCGAGGCGCGCCCGGCCTCCGAGCGTCCCGAGCAGTCCCGGGGCCCGGCCGCCACCACCCCTCTCACCTGGCCTCAACGTCTGTGGCTGGCGGGTGGGCCAGACCCGGGAACGGCTTTTAACCAGACTCCGCCCCACTCCCTCCCCGCAGACCGCGCCTCCTTAAGGGCGCCAACGTCCCCCTCCCTCGGGCAAACCCAGGTGTCCTGTTCTTCCCAGCCCCCAACAGTCCCCTCGGGGCACCACGCCCCCTCCCCACCCAAGACCCAGATGTCAAGCCTTCCAGCCCCAGGAACGCTGCACGCCTTCTCTTTCCTGCCGCAGCTCAGGCAATTTAAAGTCAATTCCTCCGCACAATGGGATGGAGCACAGGGGAATCAAAAGCCCTCAGGGTCCCAATTGAGCGAGGAGGAAGTTGGGAACACCCCACCCCCTACCCCAAACCCTTTTCTTGTGCCTATTGCTCCTCAAAGCCCTGATCTGCCCCTGGGCCAACACCGTCTGGAGGCAGGCCCTGGTTCGGTTTCCTGAGTCATCCCAGCAGGTGCTCAGGTGGTGATTCAACCCGGGGTCCAGGTGAGCAGACTTAAGCCGGCCCGACGCTAGCCCCCAAGCCTCGGGTTTCTGCCTGCCGTCTGCCCTCTGCAAACCTGAGTCTGAGGACAGGGAGCCCCAGGCCCCGGGACAACACCCCCCCCCCCCACCACCTCCGGAGCAAGGGGTCAGCGGCGTGGATCCCTGAGAACGAGCCTGGACCCAGAGCGGAGGGCGGGCCCCCTGAGCCTCAGAGGGTCTCGAGGGAGCCCGGCTCCCCGTTCTGCCCCAGGCCTCGGTAATCGGATTAGGCAGCCCGGCCTTGGCTCTCAGCCCTTATCGGGACCCGCTCCAGCTCCCGCTTGAGTACCCCGCAGCAGCCCTACCTAGGCCACCGTGACTCAGGGGAGGAGCAGCCCGCTCCCTCTACCAGCACACCCGGGGGAGGGGAGAAGCACCACGACAGGCCACAAGCCATTGGGCTCCAGACTAGGAAGGGACCTGGGCCTGGGAGACAGGAATGCCAGGAATTCCCAGAAGAGAAAGCAGGTGGGGAGAGAGAGGAAACGAGGCCGGGCAGGTCCATCAGAGAGAAACTGACGGACCCAGCTGGGGGCAAGGAAGGTACAAGGAACCACAGAGCCATTTGGATTTTTTTATTCTCTTTTTAAATACTGTACAGTGAAAAATAAATACGCCTTCTCATCCACCAGACAAGGTTGGTCCCCCCCTCCCCTGGGGGACCTTGTCACCCCCCTTCATACACACCCCTGGTTCTACTCCAAAACCTTCCCCATGCCTCCCACCCACTCATACCCTTACTATCCCCGTCTTCCACAGTGATGAGGCCCCAGAGATGGGGGGTACAGGATGGGAGGAGGGATAGCAGGGGAGCCCCCCTGAACTGTCGAATCTGGGTGGGTCGAGGAGCACCCCGCACCAGCAGGCGGAGGACGGGGGTGTTCAGAGATCGGGGCGTTAAGAGGATAAAGGCACATCCAGTCTGATGGGGAAGGAGAGAGGCTCCCCTCACCCTGGGGGTTGGGCGGACAAGAGGGAGGGGGTATGACCCTGTTACACACCCCTCCACTAGCTCCTGGAGGTTGAGGGGGACCCAAGCTGCTGTGCCACCCCCCTCCCCCCTAGATAGAGCAGCTCCAGCGCACGTCGGTCGGGCCTGTGAGGGCCACGGTGTGGGGCAGCAAGCGAGACGGAGAAGGGAGGGATGCGGGCCAGAGGTTTTATGAAACCCCGTTCACCAAACTACCCAACTCCAGGGGCGCGGAGAGCTCCCCATTCTCTGAGGGGCCCTTAGGAAGCTTGCTGACAGAGTCGCCCTGAGGGGAAGTGGGAAAGAAAAAAGGAGAGGAAGCGGGAAGCCAGTCAGTAGAAATCCAGGCCGTGCCCCCCATCCTAGTGCTCCTGGCGGCCAGCGCCCCGGGGGCTGGTCCCGGGACTCTAGCAACTCTCAGAGGAACCCAGAAAGTCCGAGCCAAACCTCCCCCTGTCCTACCACACCTTCCCTATTCCACACGCGGCCTAAACGCCATCAGACACGGGCTCCTCCCTGAGTCCCCTGCGTGCCTGCCCCAGGAGGAAAGTGCGGCGGATACGGGCACCCCGCCTGCCTACCTTCTGTCCCGAAAGAGAGTCCTCTGAGGGCTTAGAGCGTTCCAGGGGGGGCCGCTGGCGGCTCTGAGACTCTGCTCGGGAGATGTAGTCAGCCACGGTCACTGCAGAAGGCAGTCGACCCAGGGTTTCAGAAGGAAGCAGGTGTCCAGCTCTTAGAAGCCCGCTAAGCCCCAAGCCCTGGCAGAAGGCACCCGTTCCCTCTGCCCTGGGGAAGGACGCGGGCACCCGGCGTGCGCTGACCTGGCTGACGGTCCCCACTGATGGAACCATCCGTCCGGTTCCCACGGTTACGGCGGCGGCGGCTCCGGTTCCGACGCTGGGGTCTTGAGTCATCTTCTGTGGGGCAGGGAAAACCCAAGGGGTGCATCTCATCTCCCGTACCTCAATTCCTGCCGGGCTCAACCTCTCTAGACCCAGGCACAGCCCTTACCCAGGCCATTCTCTGTCATGCTGGGCCCGTCGGATTCCAGGCCTCCATCCATGACAGTCCGGTCCTCATCCGTGCGGCGGCGGCGGGAGCGGCGGCGCCTGGCACTGGCTGGGGGGGGCTCCCCAGGCTCTGAGTCAACTGGGGGCTCTGGTTCAGAGGTGTCCAGGAGGCTGTAGGGATTGCTGTCGGGGTCTTTCAGCACTGGTTGGAGGAGGACGAGACGGTGGTTATGGGGCATCCGCCGTCCCTCCTCCTGGCCCGCACCCGCACCCCCAGCTGTCCTACGCTGGCACCTGAACTGATAGACGAAGCGCTGTATCTTGTGGCAGGCCGAGGGGCAGCTGGGGGTCCCCTACCCCGGCCCCCGATTGGCCGCCTCCGGCTTTCTTCTCCCCGGGTTGGGGCGTCCCGGTCACCAGGCCCAGCTCTGCTGGGTTCCTCCCTCTTCTCCGATTCGGTCTCGGAAGCTGTGGATGGGTCCGAGCTGGGGCCTGAAGGACACAGTGGGCTTCAGTCGGGGACCCTCGCCCCTGCCCAGGATCCATCCCGCAGCCAGTCCCACCTTCAACGTGTCTGTCACCCTGTCCTCGAGGTTCCGCCAGGCCTGTAACGCCCCCCATCCCCCCTGCAAGGCCCGCAGCCTCTTACCATAGGCAGGACCGCCTGTCCTCCGGCCCCGGCCGCGGCCCCCGTAGCTGCCCCCATAGGTCCGCGTGGCGTGGAGGGAGGAGGAGGAGCTCTCATCGGTGGTGTACCCGGCCTTGTCACTGCCGCCGCCGCCCCGCCCGCTCCCTGGAGGGCGAAAGCCCAGTCCTATCTGCCGGAGCTGCTCGTCGATCTGGAGCCTCTCCAGGCGAAGCTGCTCCACCTCCTGGTCGGGCAAGGACGGAGAGAGGGACCAGAGGAGTGACCAGACCCGCAGACAGCCTCCCTCCCGCCCGCTTCTTCACCCTGACCGCCCCCAGCGACCTAAACTCATAGGAACGTGACAAAGACGTGGGCTGAACAAGGAACATTACGGGACCCAACCCCACAGCCCCCAAATCCCTGCTCCGAGGTTTCCGCTGTCCTCAGAGACAAGCAGGGCACCACCGTCCTAACCCTGTCCACCAGCGGCCTCAGCCTCCTCGCTGCACCTAGACCCTCCCACCCCACCCCCCCGGCCGCCTGGGTACCTGCAGGTAGGAGAGATGGTACTCTAGCAGAGCCTGGGCATTGCTGATGCTCTCCCGGGTGCCCACGAATATGAAGGGAACCATCCCCTGCAGAGGAGAGAGGGCGCAGGGTCAGCGGGACAGTCGGGCCCGGTACCAACCCGACCCCATCTCCTACAGAAGCTCCCCCAGGGGCATCATTCTGGGCTCTGCGCCTCCCATCCCCCACACTCCGGGAGCCCGCAGAGGAGAACCAGAGGACGCTGCCATCTACTTTGAAAAGCAGTCCTCAGAGGCAGTGCCCCGTACCTCCTCCCTGGGATTCTTCTTGTCATTGTCACCTTCTACTCGAACCCTCACCACACCAGATTTATCCACAATCTCCTGGATCACTTTCCCGTTCTTTCCAATCACTTTGCCTGAATGGGTAAAGGAGGAATGAGGTTTTTGGTTTTTTTTTTTTTTTTTTTTTTTTTTTAAGAAAATAAAGAGTAAAAATGGGGTGCCTGGGTGGCTCAGGGGGTTAAAGCCTCTGCCTTCGGCTCGGGTCATGATCTCAGGGTCCTGGGATCGAGCCCCACATGGGGCTCTCTGCTCAGCGGGGAGCCTGCTTCTTCCTCTCTCTCTGCCTGCCTCTCTGCCTCTTGTGATCTCTGTCTGTCAAGCAAATAAATAAAATCTTAAAAAAAAAAAAAAGCAAAAACTAAACACTAAAAAAAAAAAAAAAAAAGTAAAAATAGAAAAAATAGATAAGATAAACAGTCTTCCAGCTCCTATACCCGAATTCTGTTTAATTGTTCTCCTTCAAGGTTTCTACTGAGTTCTCAGGACAAAATATTACAATCCCCAGAAATCTGTTCTTCCATTTTGTCACTCTTCTGACAGACTGTTTGCTCCATCCTCCTGAGACTGGAAGGCCCCCAGGGGTGCCGAGCCCACCACCCT